GCTCCTGCTGGTGTCTTCAGCCATAATCACCATCTTCCTCTGAAGCTCTGGAACAACTACATCTTAATCATGTTTTACTTTGTTCTTAACCAAAAACTACAATCCAGGAATAATTAACAATGTAAAAGATTTTAGTTGGATATATTTTCAATAAAATCAGAATAATGCTTTGATCGCTGAATTGTTTAATTACTTGTGTTCTGCAATTTGTATCACTAAAAAACAGATTTGTTATCAGCTGTAAATTAAACAAACAAAACAGGACAGAAGAAAATATGAACGTTTCATATTGTATATATATATAATTATATGTGGCTGGTTGATAAGGATGGACAAAGCTCACTTTAAGGTTTTCAAACTCCGTAATGCTTTGGACAAAGTTGCCATTTTTGTAGTTTTACCACAGTTGATTTTAAATCAGTCAATATGTGTCTGAAGTGCAGGCATCCAGCTTTCTCTAAAGGAGGCAGGACTATCATTGTCAAAGTCGAGGTATTTGATAGTCAAGAGAAACCTTCATGAATACAGTATATATACTGAGAATAGATAGAAGCAGCAGGATGAATTCTGAAGTGTGCAGTGCTGCACTCAGATTCAGGCAAGTTCTCTGAATGCTTCATCCAAGTATTAAAAATTATGCCCGTTCGTCCAGTTAAATTTTAAAAGTATTACATGTGGAATATGTGCATCAGAGTATAAAGACTTTGCTTCACCCAGGCTTTATAGAGGAATGTCTCTACACCAGGCAGAAACGTTAGAATGCCTCGAGGTACTTATGTGGGCAGTCAATGCATCGACATTTGTCACATTTCACCTCTAAAATAAGGGTTTTAAACTCTTGCAGATTTCTCTGAAAGACTGTCTACAGTCTCTCTCCTATGTTGTCTTAGGTTTCATTTAATCATGTTCTTCTCAGTTCTCTCGCTATCAAGGGGTTTTTCTCTGCAACAACACATCAAATCAGCTATCAAGTAAACCATTCAATGGAGTCTTAAACTGGAATGGCTCCATGTCAGTGTTAGTAAGTCAGCTTC